AACTGGCATTTGGAACGGACACACGCAGGGCAAAGGTCAGAACTGTTGCAACAGGAAGCAAATTTGATGGACTCCATGGAAATAAGGCACATTCCTGCGATGGCGAGAAGAGAGAAGTAAGTTAGAAGAGGATTGGAAGGAGGATGGGAGGAAAATACAATAATAACCCAAGAAAGGAAGCACACTGCTGTGAGCACTTATGATCTGCCTGAAGCGCTAAAATATGGATTACTGGTGTATATTATTGCCAGATCAGGGTTTCCATCAGTGTATTATAGGCCTGGCAGCCCGCTATCCTTTATAGCGCCACCGCCAGGCTAAGCCTTTCTTGTTTATGTTTTTAGGAAAGTAGTAGTAATAATAATAATAATAATAATAATAATAATAATAATAAAATCTCCTTTTTTAAGCCGGATTGCAAGCGTCTCTGTTGCTCTGAGCGCTTCACTGGCGGAGCAGATTCATTCCTAAAAGAATAAATTATACACTATAGATTTATAGTTTATGCATTTAAAGCCGGACCAATCACACTGCTGGCGCCTTTGCGCGTTATTGACGCGCCTCGCGCGCTGCTGTAGCTGGGTTAAGTTAACCTCAGCGCTAGCCCGCGCGCCTCCTTTCACTCAAACTGGACACAGGCTGACCTGTTTGGACATTTACATCAACCCCCTTTGAGGAATTATGATTCTTTCCAGAGTTTTTATCAAGGTAGGACTTTAAACACCACTCTGGTTAGCTCTGGTTGCGCAGCTCTACGTGAACTGCAAGAATAACTTGTAGTTGCACTTTCAGAGGTGCGTTGAGAATGATTTACATTTGTGAACAAAGAATTTTGTGCGGCTTTTCTATCTCAATACGCTGCCCAGGGCCCAGCTCTGCCTGTGCTGATAGCGTTTATCTATGTGTTCCCGGTTGGCCGGTGTATTAGTTAACGAAGTTAACTTCTCCTGACTCTTTCCCACACAGACAAAGAGCAGATCAAAAGATTTACCAGGCAATCTGCTTTAAGTACAGGTAACATAAAGATTAGTCCAAAAGCTATATTTAGGCTATTTCAGTCAAGACATGTTGTTAATAACAAGGAGAAATTACAAATTAGATTGTTTTACAGATATTCTATGTTGCATTCAGTTTTACAGCTGTTTAAATCTTATCAAAGTGGTCAAAAGGTTAAACTCATACATACAGCCACGACCCCCGTGAATGCCTCTTCAGTCCACAGAGAGGCGAGTGTGTTTTCCATGCTCCTTCAACCTTCCTTCGGGGGAGAGAGGGGTTGGGAGTTTCAAAGAGTGAGTGTGATTTCACAGGATTACCCATAATACTTTGTTCTTTCTAAAGTTACAACATTACATTACAACTTTTTACCAGCAGATGGTGCATTTTAGCAGGATTTAACCGGAACAATTTTAACTAAGATGCATTTGTAAATTGTACAGTCTACCCAGCGCTCTGCTGTGTGACTGATAGACCCGTACAGCAGTGCTTCTCAATTCATTTGGAATGGACACACGCAAGTCAAAGGTCGGAGCTGTTGTAACATGAAGCATATTTGATGGACTCCACAGAAATAAGGTACATTCCTGCGATGGTGAGATGAGAGGAGCAACCTAGAATAGGATTGGAAGGAGGATGGGAGGAAAATACAATAATAGCCCAAAAAAGGACAGCACACTGCTGTGAGCACTTGTGATCTGCCTGAAGCCCTAAAATATGGATTACTGGTGTATATTATTTCCAGATACAACCTCCTTTCTTGCAGCATTTCACAGATTAATGGGTTTCATTTTCTGGTGTTAAATTAAGGCCAATATGGAAGGCAGAAAAAAAGAGCAACTGGATCATATATTTTAGTTTCAGAAGTGATGCGACACATTCTGCAAGAAGCAAGTTTGGTTTCAGACTCTGGCACATCAGGCAGCATAGAGAAGGTTCTTCATAAAGCTCCATTTGCTCTCTATCCTCTAGCGGAGAGCAGACCCTCCAGCTAAAGCAGGTTGGTGGATTAATTAGAGGCCTGAGGTAAGAAAACAAAAGAAAGAAAACAGTTACTTTCTAGAAAGTCAAACTAAATCACTATATTCATACTCAAGTCGCTTCTCACTCATGCATGTAGATTTTTTTTTTTTATCTCACCTGTGTGGAGATGAGGGACACAGCGCTGGGTGGAACAAAACAACCTTTTGCTGCCCCCTAGAGGCGTTTAACTGAAACAAAGAAGATAATGCTCAAGGAAAAACAAAAAAAAGAAATGTAAAGAAATCTGGCCCAACATCAATATGACAGCCAACTTGAAGATGATTATTGTCATCTCGTCAATAATGCTTTAAGAGGCAACAAAATGGCTGGAAGTGGGATTGTTAAAACGGCAGAGATCCGACTATGTTACAAAAAGATTTAACTGGTTTAGTTAAAGTGGCAAACTGGAAAACTATTAGCAGAAACTAATTTCTCTTAGCTAATAAAAACGTTTTGATCTGTGCTGTTTGTGCAGTTCATCCCAGAGGACATTTAATTCAACCTTTCATTTCTGTATTTATAATACAAGAAAAAAAACAACCCCAAAAACCCAGTGACAAAAATATTTACAGCACTCAAAATTCAAATGGAACAAGAAGGTACATCTGCTAATTCTCACAATTCCCTGACAGTCAAAACAAACAAACAAAAAAAGCAAGGCTCAGTTAATCAGAAACACTCTTTTGTAAGAACAAGTAGTAATGTCTGCAGACGTCTCAACATCTGCTCATATTTTTTCTTTATTATTTCAAATTCAAAAATACTTTATTAATCCCAAAGCAAATTTAAATATAGAAACATTGACATTTAGAAAACTGTCGAGCCTTCTCTTGGCATTTACGGGCACCAACAATGAAGATGTGCGACAAACCTAGAAATAAATATAAAAGAAATCAAAAGTTGGATTGTCTGAAATGCTTGGCACTACAAATGTATTCATTATGCGTTTTGCTGAGAAATCCGACTAAAAGCCTGGTAACTATCTGCATGTACCTCAGCATGCTGCAGAAAACAATCTGTTGATACTATAACCAAGATCTGAAAAACATCCAATTCTAATTTTACTGTTCAAAAAGTTTACTCTGAGAAGCAAATTTTATCCTTTTACATAAGTGTTACTTTTAGTAGCCATTATTTCATACAGACTTTAGTAACATGGATCAAGATTAAAAAGTGCCATCATGGATTCTTATCGCTCCTTCACAGTGTTGCATGAACACTGCACACACAGCTACTGTTGCTAATTCAGTTTATTTATAAACGGAATTAAATTGATATATTGTTTTGGGTGAAAAAGACATTTAAAACTTTAAATGAAAATACAAGTTTAACCACTAGTTGGCAGCAAAGCTTCTGGCATGGTCTAGATTTGACCCGACACATTTTCCAGCAAATAAAATATAACATCACAATAATGTGTGTGAACCATCACAAACATTTCAGTCCTCCTTCATAAAATGTGTCGTTCAAAGTAAAGCAAGGAGCTAGAAGGATTAAAAAAAAAAAAAAAAAAAAAAAAAAAAAATTTATTTGACTTTTAAACCAATTTTTCCAACAGGAACCTCTTAGAAATTTGTGTGAGTTTTTCTTGAGGGGCTCTGAGCATTAAAGCTTCACTTCTACATATTTTGCTTCCAAAAAGGTAAATGTGCTTGTAGAACTGTTGCCTTGTAGCAAGAAGCCCTGGTTCTCTCTGCCTGGAGTTTGGATGGTACTCTGGCTTCCTCCCACAGTCCAAAAACATGACTGGTAGGTTCGCAAATGGCCCCATCAGTATGTTTGTGCAGGGCTGTTTGTGTTTTGTGTTGCATTGCGAAGGACTAGCGACCTGTCCAAGTTGTACCCAGCCTCTTCCCTAATGATCACTGGAAAGAGACACCAGATTCCCAGGACCCTGCAAGGACAAGCAGACGGACAACAGATGGATGGATGTATTCACTTGTATGTTTGTTTTAATCTGCTTCTTTTTCTAATTCAATAATCTTTTAATTGTTGTGGTTTTCATGCTCTCTGTGGAAAGGCACTTAGTAATTTCACTGTGAAATGTACTTGCCAGCATACTTAATTTTTGAAAAACTTTTTATTCTTCTGAATTTTTTCCTAAAATGTTTTCCTGGGACAGACTTTTGCTGCTGCTCGTTTATTCATTTCCTTTCTCCGACAGCTTAATTTTCAGAGTGTCTAAGGCCATTTTACAATAAAGTATGCCTCTCTGGAAACACCACAGGACTCTCCTGTGACTTATTTTAATTAGTTTGTACAAAACGTACTATATAATCTAGCTGCAAAACATTACTACGTTGTAACAAAATCAAATTACTGAAAGAACCAGAATGTTTCTCTCAGCATTCTGTTAAACCATCTTTTCAGATTGAGTCAAGCACAATAGTAACTATTTCTGGTAAACCCTTTTTGATGTCGACTGTTAATACACTTAACTGCAATGAAGACAAAGTTTTTATACAGCATTTTATGTCACGTTATTTTGGATTTAGTAATCTTGAAGTTGGTTTTTATTTGCTATGTTGATACTTCAAAAACCAAATTTCCAAATATTACCAAAAGAAACAAAAAAAAAAAGGTCTTACAATAAACATTTCCATGATTTCAATGTGGTGTGCCCATCAAAATACAATTTAAAATACAACATGTTGATTACATGCTCAAGATTTGAAAAAAGATTTTTAAACCAAGCATGATCAAGTCCTTATACTGGTGATTGATCAGCACTAAACTATCACAAATCTTACCTTTGCTCTCTCAGAGAGTAAATCTTCCTAGAGTGGGGAAAGAACAAAAAAAAAAAGGGGGAAAAAAATGACATCTAAAATCAGAGACGTTGCTTCTCATGTTCCCCCTCGCCACTCAAAACAGAGAAAGCATCAGAAAATCCTTTTAAAGTCTCCACCACCCTGCAGCAGGGTGACTGCTGGGTACAGGACTCATCATGCACTTTCAGCACCAATACAGTTCTGCTGAGAAGTTTACACACGGTTCCCATGGCGATAAACATCGCCTATGTGATGCTTCGATTATTTGAGCCGGTCCTTTTGCCGATTGAAATCATACAACAAATACCTTTAATGCAGTTTTGAAGCACTGGGTGCGCAGGTTTGAATTTGAGCTCAAATCCACACAGAGACAAAAGTATGCATACAAACACACAATGTGAAAACGTTAGGACACCCGTTAAATATTCTTTCAATCACCTAAATGTTGGTTTAAGGTGAATTTGGAGGCAGTTCTTCATTATGCAAGTAGAATCATGTCTATTAGCCAAGGTTTTATGTACAAGCAAAGGATTTTGACTTGGTTTCACACACTCAGCCTACAGAGCTTAAATATAAACGTAAAATTTTAGATGGAATCAAATAAAAGCTTAAAAAAAAACAGCTGCAATAAGTAACTTTTGGGAAAAAAAAGATTTTTACACATTTGTATGGTATGAAATTGATTTTTTTTTTTTAAGGCAGACTTTTTTAATCCACATTGTAAGTAATTCATAATTTTCTTTGTTTTAAAACCTGAAAAAACATAACTTTGCAAGGACATGAATAGGACTGGAGCTTGACAAACTTCATTCAGACCTCGTGTAAGCGCTATGGTTGGTGGATTCTTGAATACCCCAAGCCACTGATTTTCATCTCAGACTGCCAGCTTTGGTCAAATAGTTGAAGATGACAGATCAAAACTAAATCAGTAATGTCTAAATCCATCTAAAGCATGCCGACATTTAGCTTGAGCAAAGAACATTAAAAAAAATTGAAATGAGCTTCAGCAAATCATGCCAAAAACAGCAGTCAGAGAATATTAACATTGATTAAAGTCTTTTGTTGTATGGCAAAAGGAGAGGGAGTTATAAATGTAAACTTCTGACACAAATTGAAAATCCGCCCCCCCCACCCCCCAAAAAAAAGTAAGATCCGATTCTTACATGTCAGAGATTACTCTGGGTTTCACGTATTCATCCTCTTCAGCACCTGCAGAGGAGCACAGAAAATGAAAAGAAGTGAGAGTTAAAAAAAAAGACTACAAAAAACAAAACATGAACTGTATTGAAAATAAATAAAATCATCAATTTCTAATAAAGAGCTTTATTTCAGAATTTAAATAGATTTACAAACCATAAGAAAAGAAAATATAAACAAGAAAACAAAACATCAAATGATCGTCAAACTATCCACATGTGCATATCAAGGTAGAGATTGTAAACAGTCCTTTGAAGCCAAAAAGTATGTACTCCCCCCCATCCCCACCTCATGGTTCACTCAATTGGAATACAATTTGTTGGTGGTTGTTTTTCCTGAGGTTCTTAGTTTTTTTTTTTATTATTTTTATTATAAATCAAATGCTGGGTTTTCCCTCATTGGTGTTTCAACCAATCAGAGATCATAAAACTCAGGAGGGGAGGGGGTTGGGAAGAAAAGATGACAGGAAGAAAAAAAGAAAGAAAAACAAAAAAAAACAGTAGTCTTACAAAAAAAAAAAACCCCACATGAATTCCATTCTCCAAAAACGTAATGTAGGGCTGGAGACCCTTAAAGGTCAAAATGGGAATCGGTTAGTGATCCGGTATTAATAACTCATTGTGGAGAAAAACGTTCCTAAAATATTGTGTGCTTTGTCCGTTTGGATCGATACAACATTTTGGTTGATTCTGCTTCAACATTTTACTTCTCCACACTTCCATGAACAAACGTGAGTAAAACTAAAGAAAAAAAGATCAAGTCAATAATCAAAAAATACTTATGAAATCTTTGCAACTCATATCAAAATCTGAGGAGACAAAAAATAAAAATAAAAATGTAAAACTAAAACAGAAGTGAACGCTCGGCCCATTCACAATATGACAGTTTCGGATAAAAATCAATTTCAAGGACCTTTTTTACCTTGCACACATTCCCAACCATAAAATCATACCTAAAACCACAAACACCTATCAGCATGCTAGTGAAGAACCAATGTCCTGCTCATGCTCAGATGAAGACCCTTCCTCTTCACATTTTTCAGCACATCTTTGAAACGATCTGCGGCTACTCACACAACGGATACGGTTACAGTAAAGTTCAGCTTTTCACTGGAAATACTGCTGGTTGTTAGTGGTGTACAATCTCCAGTCCTCTGCTGGCACAAAAGCAGGCTGAAAACTAACCAATAAGTCTAGAAATCCAGCCGCCCATCATTCATCCTTCTGCCCGATCCCAGCTGAGACGACTGGGTTCACTGATTCGGGCGAGTCAAGATGGCTGCAGTCCAGTCCAGCAGTTCAGGGGTAAGAAAAGAACAACAATCCAGCTTGTGCACACAGTCGCCAGTAGGAGGCGAGCTCGGCGAAAGATTGCAATGCAACTCCTCTGCTGTGGACGTCTGTGCTACTCTGATCTGAGTGGGAATGACGAACCGACACCGAACATAAAGACGGATCCAGCTGCAAGCGCCACTCCAAAAAAAAAAACAAAAAAAACCCTCAGATCCTTTCCGACTGGAGTTTGGTCTAACTGCTGCAAGGCTCTGCTTTACTGCCACACTTAAAGCACTGCGTGTAACACCAACTCAAGCTCTGACTGCATAGATTTGTTTTCATTTTAAAACAGCACACTGGCAGCATGATCTGCATTTGACTCGTGAGTTCAGCTTACACCCGGGATAAATCTAACAGGTGCCTCTATAAATAAGCAGCAGCCAGGTTATCCGACAGAAGTTTGAACCCTTAAGTCAGAGCTTGAATATCACTCTTCTGGTCGGGGCTTGCTCGGACTGGTCACCTAGATCTAGGATAAAAGGAAGGCACAAGGAAGTGTGAGTAGCTTGCAGAAATGGATAACTTCCCCGTTCTGAGCGGCGCAAGCCCCGCGGCTTTAAAAGTCAAAGGTGAAAGCGTGTCAGGGCTTTGAACCTCGTGCTAACTGGAGGTCACGCATAATATGGCTCAAGCAGAACAGTTTGCCTTAATTAGCTTCCTTTGCGGACACGTTCCTGTTTTACAGTGATCTGATCTGTTGCAAAAGAGAGAAACTTGACATCTGTGGAGGAAATAAGTCTCAGGGCTTTCAGAGACTTTTCTGGACATTTTAACAGCTAACAGTGCAGAAGTATTTCTTTACATTTGTCCTGCTGTTTGTGTGTGTATCATGTGTAACCTCTACTCAGATAACATAATGAAAATGAAAAAGAACATGAAAGGACCCAAAATAACTCTGCTGCTGCTGCGTTGTCAATGACCCAGGCTTTAGTGTGCACTCTGTGATTGCACGCAGCAGACGCTGGACAAGCAGCCCCGTGCCAAGTGTGTCCATTAGCAGGAGGAAGGGGGTTAAAGTTCGGTCCGTGACACGAGGGGGCGGCTTGAGTGTGTGCGGGTACGATCGAGACGTGGTCAGGGGAGGGGGTGGGTGAGGTCACAAGGAGGCGTGGTCAGGAGTCCTCTGTGCCAGAGTCATCCTCGTCATAGCAACAGTCCTCATTGTCTTCCTCCTCATCTTCGTCCAGCTCCTCGTCGTCATAGTAGTCGTCGTATAAGAGGTTGGAGCCGTCGTCTGTGGGCGGGACCTGGGTGCGGACGCAGTATTCGTCCAACGTGGTGGGGACTTTGACGCCGTCCCGCTCTGCGTCCGCTTTGGTCGACAGCACCTGTTTCCTTTGAAATGGGCGGGGGGAAGCAAAAGCTTTGAGTTTTCACGGTGCAGCAAGCTTTGGTTTAAATGACGCTGCGTGTTCTCCCCTCCCGGTACCTTATGATCTCGATGTATTCTCTGTCTTTCCCCTTGCTGTCCCTCCATTTGCGGTACATCACAGAGGCGTCCACGTTGGCTGGGGAAAACGTGTTGGGTTCGTTCAGCAGCGAGATGACGCTGAGCAGGATGGTCCTGGGGAACAGGCAGAGGAGGAGGATCAACATGGAGGACAGTAATGCAGAATGAGTAGAAAACTGAGGCGAAGAGGACCGAGAGGCAAGATGAGACAAAAAAAAAAAAAAAAAAAAAAAAAAAAAAAAAAAAAAAAAAAAAAAAAAAAAAAAAAAAAAAAAAAAAGAAAAAAAAAAAAAAAAAAAAAAAAAAAAAAAAAAAAAAAAAAAAAAAAAAAAAAACAAAAAAAAAAAAAAAAAAAAAAAAAAGAGAAGGGGAACGCACCCCCCCCCGGCTCTCGG